TTAAAAAAAAAAAAAAAATCTTTAGAAAAAAAATGGCCAGAGCAGTCAAACCCTCGCCCTCTCCCCCTGAAAGGAGAAAAACATTGGCATAATCCTTCTTGTTAAAAGTCTCCCTGGATCCTCCTTTGAATTTCCCTTATACTCCATTACCCGAACCAGGCAGCCAAGAGCTCCTGGGTCCCCTCACACAGGCTTTGGCCCAGTTTGCATCTATAACACGTCGGTGCCAGTTCTCCCTGCAGGTCGGAAAGGTGAAACCCACAGCTGGTATGAGAAGCATGTTCGGAGCCCTCCATAGAGATGAGGACAGAATGGAGCGTGGTGCCTATAAATTTTCAGGCTGATGGGCCCAACGGCAAGTACCCCCAAACACACAAAAAAGGGGAGCCCGCCAGAAGGGTCCTACACAGCCTATAGGGGGAGCCCCACTGGAAGAAGGTGGGGAGAAGAGCACACAGAGCACAGGGCTCCCAATATGGAGGGACGGCCTCAGGTGGGATGGCCCCAGGGTGCAGCCCAATTGAGGTAGCGAGTACAGAGCCTGAGATGTGAGCCAGTTACTGGGTTAAAAGCCGTTAGGGCTTGGAGCAGGGAGAGAGATGCATAATCTGAGTATCACTAAGCAAACTTTGCAGCCAGCAGCCAGATTTTCTAAATCAACCACTTCACCAAATTCCCTGCCAGCTCCTAAAATCCTTGCCTGACTTGCCTTCCTTTCTCCAAATGATTTTATTAAACAGTGCTGGAGGTGGGGGGTGGGAAGGGGAGAAGTAGAGAAAGAACTCAGGGGTGAATTACATTTTAATTTTATTTTAAATGCAGTCTCTCTCAGTTTTGTTTCCTTCAAGTATGTCCTAAATTTGGTTGGGTCCAGGATGGGTAGATGTGTAGGCGACCCTGATCATTTGCCAGGGTGGATTTAAATGTGCTATAATAGTGTGTGTGTGTGTGTGTGTGTGTGTGTAGACTTATCTGATCAAATATACACTTAATATGCACAGGTATACCAGATTATACCAGAGCAGAAACATGTCAACTCCAAAAAGTATTTGTGTTTACAGTATTTGGAGATAAATTCAAAAAAAATCGTATTTTGCTTTGTGCATACACATTTGGTTTTGCTTGTAATTCTTCTGGAAGCTTGACCGTTTTAACTACTTCAGCATGGACTCACTTGAGGGGCAGGGAGAGTATGCAAAGCTGCAAAGTGCTTTCATATTTAAAAGGGGCTTCTCCAGGATTGCTGACCGGTGGGTTGATAGTTTTCCTCTGGATCCATTTCCTGTTTTTCAGGCTGGACCCAAGGTCTCAGACTATCCGGGGTGGGTCGGCAGCAGCTGGGGGTCTCAGCGGGATCTCTGCAATTCAAGGGGGCCTACTCCGAGACAGGATCTGAGCTACCGCCTGCCTCTTTCTCATCCTTGTGTCCAGCAGGCACTAGGCTGCCTAAGACCCAGGGGGTTGAGGGCCAAGTGACCAGTGAGTCAACTTTACAAAAAGGAGGCTGGAAAAAGGAACAGAATGAGTTTAGGTTGGTGAGACCCTAGGGAAGAAGGAGAAAAGGGGGAGACTGAGGAAGCTGGAGGCTTAAGACACTCTCCCAGGAGCCCAAACAAGGAGTTGTCAGGGGTGTTGGCTCAACAGACTGGAGGCCTCAGGAGAGCCCACGTCTGGGTCCCTGACAAGCTAAGCTGCCAGCCCCAGGAGCACAACCACAGCCAGCTGAATCCAGTCCCCACAGGACAAACCCTGTCACCAAGCAGCCACCCACTGATGCACTCTCTGGGCCCAGAGCACAAACACTCCAAACTGATTGAGTCTGTACGGAAACCACAGGTCGGAAGATCACCAACAAGGCAACAACCACCTCTACACATTCACTACCTCCAAGTATTTCACTGAATCAAACACTCCTGGCCACAAAAACCAGTGGAGAAATGTAAGACCTTCTTCTCAAAAACACAGATACACGGGGGCCCACCTAGGAGGGTAACCTCAAGGACCCCCATGGGCCAAGGGCTTCTGGAAGCTCAGTCGTGGGGTGTATTCCCGTGGGCCTTTTCCTAACCTCGCAGTTGTCCCCACTCGCCCGCTCCCGGGAGAATCGGGTCCTCATCAGGGACCCTTCCTCTCCCCCGGCCCTCCCTGGCCTCGCCGTTTCCTGAGCTGGGATCTCCCGCAGAAGTCGAGCGTTTCCTGTGCTGGAAGGACTTCTCCCACTTGGAGCGGAAACTGGGTCTGGCGCAAGGGCGCCGGGGCGCGTCGCCCCCCGTTTCTGGCCCGGGAGGCGACACCCGTCAGGTCCGCACGGTATTTGGCGGGCGCCGGGGCCTGTGGGGGAAGGTGGTTACACTCGAAAGGAATCACGACTCCTCGTGGAGCCGTTGCTCGCGTCGCTGCGCACGCTCGGGTTCCGGCCCGGCTTTCGGCAACTCCCCCTCCTCCCTAACCACGCGGCTCGTAATCTGTGGGCCGCCGCCGTCCCCAGATTAAAGCGCTTTTGCAGCCTGGACACCCAGCGAGCTGCCTCCGCGCGCCAGGCCCGCACCTCCTGCCCGCGCTCGCCTCCCCGCCCCGGCAGCTGAGATGGATGTGATTTCACGCACATCCTGCGCACACACACACGTGCGCCGCACACACACACGTGCGCACACACGCAGTCGCCCTCAGCGCCGCCCGCACACACGCACGAGCCTGGACGCTTTCCTTTTGTGCTCGCTTTGCAGGACGCGCTTCCCTGCCCCTGGCTTCCGCTTTTCGCTCCTTCCTCTCCTCTGCTGCGCCCCTGCGAGTCCCCCGGGCCTGGCACCGGCCCCGCAGCCCCTCCGCCCCCGCCGGGCCCCTCGCCCGCTCCGCCGGGGAGAAGGGCGGCAGCGGAGTCGCCCCGCGCGCCCAGCGTCGGCCGGGGTCGGCGGGCAGCTGGGGCCGCAGGGCTGGCCTCGGGCCTGCGCCCTGTTTGTTTTCCCTTCGCCCCCTGAATGCTAGATTAAGACGTAAAGATTACCCGCGCCGAATAATGCCGGGAGTCAACACTCGAGCAAACAAAAGTGCTTGCACAACTCCGCCAACCCCGCTGGGACCCGGGCCGCGGGCTGGGGGAGAGAACGCGCTCCTCGCTGCTAATTACAAATAAATGATGATGTGCTCACTAAGTAATTGATTTAATGAAGTTCCTATGAAACTATTAAACCCGGGTGGAGGTCAGGCTGGAGGCGCCCCAGAGCGCCCATTGTGGGCTGTTTAACTCCGCCAGGCTCCTCGGAAAGACATCGGGGCTAATAGGTGAAGTCACAGCTGCTCGCGCTGACTTCTCGGAGCGCCCGGCCGGCCGCGGGCACCCTCGCGCCCTCCTCCTGTCGCGCCCTCGTGCCCCGCCGCCCGCGCCCCGCGCCGGCCAGCTTACCCACGCCACTCCCAGCCCCGCCGCCAGCTCCCGAGGGCCTCTCCAAAGGGATCCCGGGTCTCGTTAAGAGCGGGAAGTTGAGCGCCGAACTTGTGCGCACCGCCAGCAGTCGGCGGCGTCCACCGCCGCCCACCCCTCCCTCCTCACCCCACCCCCGCCACTTCGTGCAGGAACTGCAGCCAGTGTGCCACGCAGGGTGCTCGCGCGCTCTTGGCAAGGTGCCTGGAACCCGAGCGTGTGCCCAGTGCACTGGCTAGGGCGGGGGCGGAGGGGGTTGAGTTGTACATGAGTGTGCGTGTGTGTGTGTGTGTATGAGAGAGAGAGAGAGTGTGTGTGTGTGTGTGTGCGCGCGCGCGCGCGCACGCGCGCCCTTGCGTTTCGGGCCAAAAGGCCACGTTTTTACATCCCTTACCCTGGCCTGCGGCCTGTTCGTGCAAAAAAGTAGTAGAGGCAGGGAGAAGGGGGCCGAAGAAAAAGGTGCAAAAAAGATCACCCAAGGGGGCAGTTGGACATGGGAGCCTTAGTCTTGGGGTTTGCAGACCAGCTGCGGGAGAAGGGGGCTGGTCTGGCACAGCCCTTTCTCCTCATCCCCACCTCCCACTTCTGACAGCGCCCTGACCTGGCCTGGCGGTTCCGCCCTAGAGCGACGCCGCCAGCTCCCAGTGGGGCTGACTGTGTAGGCCGCAGGCCCGAGGCTACCTCCCTCCTCGCACACGGAGCCCAGCCCCTGCAGGAAGGTGGGAACTGCTTCTTCTGCGGGATGGCTCTGGTGGGAAATGTAACCTCCCCTTATCTCTTAGCCTGGGGGGACCCCTGAGGGGACACAGCCCCTAGATGGAGAAGCAGACGTTGCAAACGCATCTAAAGTTAAGGATGCTAACCCCCTGCACTCCGCAGCAAGGGCACGACAGAGCATTTGGCTGCGTCTTCCCTCCCCTTCCGGGTACCTTGTAATGACAGAGAAAGCCCATGTCCATCTGGGACTCCACACCAGGGGCAGGGCCGCCCGTGGGGCTTCTCGCCGAATAAGTCAATCGGCCAGGGTCCCCTGCACCCCTCTACCCAGCCAAGTCTTGTCTCTCCTTGTCAAGAACGGAGAGTTCACAAAGTTTCTTAAAGTACTCATTTCATTTATGTCACAGTTAGTAAGCGTCTTCACTTTTTTTTTAATATTAGTAATTTCCAGCTGCTGAAATCAACTTCCATTTGATTTTGAGTCAAACGCTTGGCCTTGGGGAAGAGGCGAGGTTTGGGCCCGGTTCTCTGCTCCCTTGAAAGAGCACTGCACTGGGTCTGGGTCTTTGGTCTTCCCACCGCCTGGAGGGAATATTGACAAAAATCTTCCCTTGAGGGAGGCTTGCTTGAGGTCTCAGTTTCACCATCTGTAAATTGGAGCGGAGGTCCTTGGCGAAGCTCCTTTGGGCTTTGTGATCTGGGAAGGGGACCCTAAGGGCGAGGGGGAAGTCAGTGAAGACGCCTGCTTGCACCAAGCTTTTGTCTTTCTTTGTGCAAGCTGGCCCCTTTGTACAATAACGCCCCGCCAGACGGCCTAATGGATTTTTGCAGGGGGGGGGGGGGGCGGTAATTTTCTCCACGCAGGAGCAGACGAAAGTGAGCGTTCCAACCCAGCGAGTCCCCGCGTGGCCCTTGTTGGCTAAACTGCACTCTCCCAAATGTGCCCAAAGTGGTGCACCTCCCCGGGCTCAGGGCAGATGTTCCCATTTTGTTCCCGCCTCCCCTGCCCTCACCCCAGGCCCTCGTATTCCTTTAACGCCTGCTGAGGACTGCCTCCCTGCTGCCCTTAATGTAGGATGGGCCCTTCTCTTCAGCCTCCAAATGAGAAGTGACATTTGCACTCGGCTCAGCCAACGCGTGAGCACAGCGCAGGGACACAGGCCCATTGACCGAGCGCGGCCGAGGGGCCGGCGGGCTCGGCGGCATCCGAAGCGGCCTTAATTAATACCATCTTAAATAGTCCAGCAGCCACCGAAGACAAAGTTGAAGAAAGACTTTAAGGCTGAGTGCCCCTCGACAAGCTCTTTTTCCCCGTGTCATTCAATATTTAATGCGCCCGCTTCTAATGCTACTACTGGTGGTCCTTTCTCAGCAAGGACATTATTTTTTCACGGTGCCCATAGCCAGGGAAAGCCCTTTAGGCAAAGAAAATCAAAATGTTTGTTGTTTTGGATGACTTATAACTCTTGTTTAACACAAGCACTTTCAGCAAAGTATAACAGGCGCAGCCTCCAAAGCAAACAACACAATCCTTGTGACAGAGTCGGACACAAAAAGCACATTGTCTTGCGTACTACCCCTTTTCTCTGGTGCTAGATGGGGGCCTGTCTCCGAGTGAACACCACGATGCCATTTCACTTTTGAACTATTGTTTTTGAGTTATGCCATGTGGTCAAAAGGAGCGAGAAGGGGGTTGTTTCCAGGCTCATAAGACAAACGAGTTGCCTTTTCATTGAAATCCCCCCGCGATCCTTGAAAACGGAGTTTAAATGTCACCTCCGCCTTTCTAATGGGCACAGGGCTGGAGGCGACCCTTCAAAGCGCCTGGGTGATAAACGACCCTTATTAAATATAGCGGGGACCGCTGGGAAAGTCCCGCGCCCGGGCCAGCACGTGGAAGAGCGCCCCTCGCTGGAGGGCCCGGGAGAGGCCGGGCCTCCCCTGCAACCCGCGAGGCCCCCGCGGCCGGCCCGGCTCCGGCTCCGGGGGGCGGGGGAGTTGGGGGAGACCGGGTGAGGGGGTCCAGTTGTAATACAACTTCTTATCTGCCGCCCCCAACACGCCCGTGCGCCCCCATCCCCAGAGGCTCGGCGTGAAAGCTCGGTGCATTTCCCCCTGACTTCTTTTTGTCCGTTGCCGAGTGGCGTCTGCAAGTCTGAGCTGCAAAGTTACTGATTTGCAGGCTGCATGTTAAGGCAGCCCATGTAAGTAATTTCTCCGGGCACCCCAGCAAAGGAGAACAAATCGCTGACAAAGGCGAGCGCTTTCGATTCAGCGGCGTCGTTAAGGCAACCCCAAAGTATTCCTCCTATAATAAGTTCCACTTCAAAGGGTTTCTCATTCAGCGGTGACTGCTTCGCACTTTTATTAAGTCCGGGCTTTTTCACTCGGAGGAATCATCTGTTTGGTTATTTTTCATCGTGTTTATTTTTCACCATTCACACAGTACTTGTATTAAATAAACAAAGAACAATCGCTCTGCAAATAAAAGTACTTAGGTGGGGAGAGAAGGAAGAGGAACTGGAACCCGGGTGCCCCCCGCTCGGTCCCCTCCTCTAAGTGCGCCCACCCCACCCCCACCCGGCTTTCTCTCTTCCTCTCCCCTGTCTCCCTCTCCCCTTTCTCGCGAGCTAGCAGGTTCAATGGGAGATCGTAACAACAAGTGGGTGGAAAGACTTATGTTATTATATAGGTCGTGCGTGTCATATTATATGGGCAACATTATATGTAATACGTGTGTTTGCGACGAGGTGAAAATCGAGGGCGCTAAGTTGGCATGAAAGTTACAGGTCACTGCAACTGTATCTTAATAGAGTGTCTCCAATCGCTGCGGAGCCTCTGCCCGCGACTGCCCTGGCCCAGCCCATTGCCATAGCAATCCTCACGCTCGGCGTGGGTGTGCCATAAAAGCAGTAGTTTGAATTTCAAAGAACATGTCTTTGAACTTCTCCCTGCCTGATTAGGCACTTGTGCCCTGTGTGAATGTGTGTGCCCCGGGAGTGTTTGGGCGTGGGCGTGGGGGGGGGATGGTCTGTGAGTTTTTGTTCACGTAGGGAAAGTGGTGGGCTGGTAACCCCAGGGCAGTGTCACTGTGGGTCTCCTTAGCCATCCCTCCAGCTCCGGAGGGTGGGTTTTCAGGGCCATGTGTCTATTTTGGTAGATGATAGGGAGTGTGATGTGACGGGCTTAAAGTATTAATAAGTGTCTGATTGTTTCTCTTGTATTCAGCTTTCCTTTCCTCTGATTTAGAGGATCACTGGAAAAAACAGATTATCTCCCCCCTCCCCCCAGTCCTATTTCCTAACCAAACTGGGCTAAAAATTCCTTCAGGGGGAACATCTCTCATCCCATTTCATAGAGAAAGAGATGATAGATAGATAGATAGATAATAGATTAGATGCTAGGTGGGTAGGTAGATAGGCAGAATGAACCACTATGGTCTCAAACAACTTCCACAAAATGCAAGATTTAGTAAATGACAAGACTGTGGTACAAACACATCTGCAGATAGTTGGGCCTCACTTTCAAGGACTTTCGGCCTCCTCCTTTCCTGTCCCCAGTGCTATCCCTCTTGTGTGGCCATCTCCAACTCCTTAAAAGAATAGAATTCCCACCCTCAAGCTATTTCTCAGTGCTTTAGATTTTTGGAGCATGAGTTTTACCAAAGAAAGTCCTGAATGGGGAAAAGATAGACATCCACTACAAATAACCATGTGTTGGAAGATTCTCCTAGCCCGGAAAACAAAGGTAGATGATTTAAAATGTTTGTGAGGGCCACAAGGGTGACGTTTTGCCTAGGAGAGATGAAGTCTTTGATGATAGCCAACTTAGTGTCAATAAGTGGCTTTCTTTGAGACATATTCAGATGGGACGTCTTGCTTGCCAATTGCCATAGAAATCTTAACACACCATGAAGATTGTCCAAGCGCCAAGCCTTCCGTTCTGGACTAAATTACTTTGAAGTAGCGGAGGACGAGCAGTGGTCAATTTTAACTCTATAGACTGGACAGAGAACTCTGGGAGTGGGAGATTGTGCGTTTTAAAGCAGAAAATAAGACGGGGAAACTTGTTTTATACACTCTATACAAGGTTCTGCTCATTGTCAGATATCTTTTATCTTTTATATTTCCCATGAATGATTCATGTCTTGGTGGCTTTGTGTCACCCCTTTCACGAGAAACTTCATTAGAGAGCTATAAGTTTTCCCATTGATTGGGGCCCTTAGCTATGGGTGTTTTTTACTTCGTGTGCTGGTTATTGTCATCTGGCTTAAAACAACTCTTTGCGATGGGTTTCACCTTCACTACATTAACAAACCTGACTTTTAAAAACCACCATAACCTTTCAGAGAACTGCTTATTGACATTACTACCATTTTTTTTTTTAACTATTTGCCTTTTATCAGTTTTGTATCAGCTAACTGAAAAACAAGCCCAGGATCAGCCCTGTTCATGTGCATAGCCAATTACATTAGTTTGAGCCACTTGGATATTTTGTTGCCATGAGTCTAATTTCTAGCTACCACATGCCTAAAAATGCTGAGTTAGGATTCCTAGATCAGCTCAACTTGCAAATACACCACAAACTGGAAGCAGCCCCCACCTCCCCAACCCCCATTACCTGAGGGTGAGAGGTATTTGATGCCCAATCTTCATTCAGCATGCTTTTAACTCTGCACCCATCCCAACTCCTGATTGTACCTTCTTTTGTGTCTGGAAGCCTCTCACTGTCCCTGCATCTTTTCTTCATTTTTACCCTTTTACTTCAGAAGCTAAGCACCGAAGAAATGCTCAAATTCACTTCTCAGATTTTCAGTGATTAAGATCACTAAGGATATTATCAACAAATGACTGCAGTAACCCCTAAGATTTATGCTAGTGTTACACGCAACTTACAGGGCTTAGTCTTCATATATACATTGTATTTTCTAGATTAGATTGTAAATTAAACCAAGCTGTACAAATATTTTATTGCTTGGGGAGAGGCTAAGAATAAAGAGCTCAAGAGAACCCAATGTTCACTGGTCAGCAACCTGTTCTGTTTGTAAGAGAATGGCAGAAATATACCATTAGGTAAAACATAAACAATACATAGGAAGAATACCTTTATTAAATTTTTTACTTCATAATCATTCTTGCTTGCTTTCTATTGGAGGTACACATTTTAAGTTTTCATTTTAGGTGTATCAGGAACCAATAAATCTGTGGCAGAGTAAACCTATGCATGGCAAAATACATAAAATACATATTCCTTTGTTTCATAATAAATAAACCTGTAGCATAATAAAGAATAGTGCAAACTACCATTGAAAAAGTTGTATAAATAAAACAACTCATTATAAATCAGGAATATTTTGTTCTAATAAGTTTACGATAAATTATCCCCCCAAAGTTCATAGCTACTTTGTCTATTTGAAAGAGCTTTGAAAGTGAATAATATGAAAATCAAATAAACTTTAAAAAATGTAGAATTATTTTATATTCAAGTTTTATGGTCTTTTTCTTTATAAAGGAGGGTCTGCATGTTTCATATCCACTGTAACAATCTGAAGACAACATTGAAAGGCTTTCAAAGTGACAGCACCATGCACTGTACTAGTAATATAATATATCTATAAACTATATATAATCTTGTCAACACAATGCAAAAAAGACATGCAGGAAGAGTCCTGGTTTTCACATTACGTTGTTCATTCAAGTAAGCTTAAAAATATATTCCCCCATTTTCTTTCATTTTTTTTTTCCTTAAATAAACCGTGGGTCATAAACAACAATCTTTCACCAAAATGTATAATATAATTCTTTGGTGTGCTCTGAACTCTTCCAGGAAAAACAAAGGATGATGTCTGAAAATAAATTAATTCAACTGTACAAATAATAGTGTTCACATACAAGTTATTAACAATGACAAGACTGCATCAACCACTCACAGCACACAAAACAAATTTCTACAAACCCTGGGGAGGGGGTGGCTTCAGGGTCTCTGAGGATAAATTAGTGCTCTTTAGGATATTTGTATGATGTTTATGATGGACTATATTTTGCAGGAGATGTGTTGCACGAACTGAAAATAAATTGACTAAGAGTTATTGTCCTAGGTCCTTGACCTTTTTTATTCTGGCCTGACAGCTCTGTCAGAGGTCACACATTCATCAGTGTTTGGTGGTAACTATAAACCTTTTAAAAATTTTAATATGTATAGCAACTCCCTCCCCTCTTTTAATGTAAATCATACACTTCACACATTTGTCATTTTCAAATGGGATCCAGTTCCGTGTGCTCAGTGCTCAGGTGGGAAAAAAAAATGCACGAAAATGCAGTTTTGGGCATTGAAAAATAAAGACTTTTTAAAAGGTTGATACAACAGTATAAAAGAGGGCTTGGCCTGTTTTAAAAACAACAGTTTTCCCCAAAAATAGGCATGTTGCCAACATCACACCTCCTCAGACTTGCCTGTTAATTTTGGCATCCCCAAAAAACTTATTATATAAGACTGATCTTTTCATTACACGAGAAGTTTGGACCCAGTCAAGAGGCGGCATCTGAGATTTCAGATTAAAAAAAAAGAGAGAGAGAAAAAAGAAAGCACTTGAATTTCTTCTATTTCACAAAATATCACAGTTTCACAGTTGCCTACTGCAGCAGCTTTCTCCTCTCTCCACTTTTTTGCTGGAACAATCACAGTGGCACAATAAATGGAGACGTACTAAGTTTGCTGCATCTTTTTTTCTTTAAATCATACAAGCGGGGTACTGAGGAAACAATCCTGTATAAAAATAGTGTGTTAAGATGAGATCAGTAATAAAAGAGTGGAAATTTAAAATTACAACTATCAGGACTTAAAGGGTTTTTACAAAGATTTTGGACACAGGTACAGTCTAAGATCTGTTGGCAATGCAGCAAGTGTGTGGTTTACAATCAAGAGGCCTTTTTAGAATTAGGGCCCAAGGAGGAGGTGAAGAGGCTCCAAAGAAGCCCATGGTATGGTGTTAAAGGCATTCTCGAGGCACGGCAGGAAATGCAGAGGGCCTTGTTGTTCTGTGGAGTTCTGACTTCATGCTTTTTCTCGCTCCTTTCAAAGTACACGTATATTGCATTGGCAGTGTGTATCTCCATTAACCCTTGGTACATTTTGCTCCTAGCCCTGTCCCCCCTGCAACGCACAAGTCCAGCTTGGTTGGTTTTTTTTGTTTGTTTTCTAAGAAGAAGGAAGGAAAAAAAGCCCAAATATCTTAATTAAATTAATTAAATGTACAAACACCATAGGGTTTCATACTGAATAAATAGGGCTAATTAGACCCGGTGGCAAGTCTGAGTCAAGGGTTTGTCTCAGGCTCGGTATTGTCTCAGGTTAGGATATGGTCCAAGGACTCCCACTTATGACTTATTATTATTATTACAAGAAAATTCTAATGTATCGTCCGCGCAACTTCCGAGTGCCCATACATCTCCTCATCTTCAGACTCCGAAGTACTTCCATTGCTGGAAGGTGTGTGAAGGTGGCTGGGTGCTCCACTGGCCTGGCAAACATACCACTCATTGAGGTTGGTCACCTGAGGGGACAGAGTGCTAGAGCGACTCCTGGTTGGGTCCAGCACAGGGGACAAGGGGGCACCCACTGGAGTCCCCACTGATGAGTAACCAAGGGCTCCTGGAGAAGGTGGTGGGGACTTGCAGTGAATCTTCATGTGCTTCCTCAGAGAGCTGGGGTGAGTGTAGGACTTGTCACAGCCTCGGATCTTGCAGTAGTAGGGCTTGTCGCTGGTGTGGACGTGGGAATGTTTCTTCCGATCGCTGCTATTGGCAAATTTCCTGTCACAGCCATCAAATTCACATTTGAAAGGCTTTTCCCCTGCAACAAAACATCGCGAAGGTCAACAACTGCTTTCCAGAGACCCCTCACTTGAGAGAGAAATCTTGGAGCAGAAATCTGGAAGCATTTCCCCATTCTCTTGAAGACCAATCCCCGGCTTGGTTTCTACTCCTAATCCCTATGTTCCAGAAGGCAACAGGGAAGGGATACTTCAGGGATGAGCCTGGAGGCTCTCCCTGGACCTGGGCTAGTAAGAGGCTAGATGTCAGTCCCTGCAGTACCACAGGGCTGTGGGGGTGGGGGGCCGGAATGGCTAGGGCATGGTCCAGGAGGCAACACCAAAACCCAGTGAGGACCCAAATACCCAGGTCCTCACTGCCCTCAGGGTCTGTACCTGCAAAAATATAAGCAGATCTCCTGTCAAGATAAATGCTGATAAAATGATTCCTCCAAATCCACAGCTTGGGGGAAGGATATAAGAAGAAGGGAAGAAAAGTAAGCAAGTCCACTAAATTAAAAGTGAAGTGGGGGTGGTGCCATAAAATTATAATAATGGCATTTTGTTTCAAGCGGCCCCAGGATCCCACTGATGGAAAAGGAAATGAAATAAAGCCAAATCCTGTTCTCTTCAGAAACAAAGGCACCTGTGAGACACACAATCCCATCACTAGATTTTTTACAAGCCTGGCTGGGCAGAGACTAGGCCGATCTCCTCTTCATTCTACCACCTTCCCTCCCAACTTGCAGAGCAATAAGAGCCTACGGAACAGAACCTTAGCAAATGTTAGTAAGGCCCACAAGCCTCCACCAGAAGCGAGCATGTACCTGATGCTCTATGGAAACCGAGGCTGACAGCTTCCTACCTTACTTACACGGCAGAAAAGGGACTGTTTACCAGTCTTTGGCCCATCGCCCCTTGAAGCTGCTCTAACCACCTCAGGAACACAATGCCTTTAAACACAAGGCCCCTACTGCAGGAAGTGGAAATGCTTAATAAAAATTCAGCCATATACCTTTGGCATTAAAAAGCAAAAAAGGAAGATGGCAGGTAACAGTATGAATTTTCTCTCTCACCTAAGTATCTTTGAACTTGATGTATTTAGTCATGATTGAACAAGTCATCTCAGACATATTTTTGTTCAATAATACTTCCCTCATATTTACATGATTTTTAAAATAAAGTTGAATTTCTCTACATTCCAGCAGCTACTCTGGTGGCTCATGAGGTATGGCTTTTTCCTTGGTTTGGGATAATATATATTTAAAAAAAAAAAAACAAATAACTATTAAAACAGCTTAGTGTTTATAAATTTTTGTGGTGAATTTTCTTATACAAATATTTCAGTGCAGTGTTTGTTGTTGCTGTTTTAATTTCACCAATGCTAACTGCTTCAGCGCCAGAGCATAGTAACAGGTCTGAAAGTATTCAGATGCCTGGAATATAACTTATCCCACCTGGATTACTGTCTAAACATGAAATCAGATATTATTCAAATATACGTCCTGCATTGATCTATACAGGGAAAAACACAACATAACACAATCATCACAACCTTCTCTGCAGATGAGCTGCAACACCAACAAAAAATGTTAATCACTTTTTATCAAAACATCAGTTATCTGTCCTGACTTCTGTGTTCTACTTTAAATTGGAGATAATACTAATTTAATGTAGCATTATTTAAAAAATTTTAATCAGCCTTTCTTCAATATGTAGGCCTAAGTGGCTTTATTCATCCTTTGGAAATATTCAGTGCTGTCTGTGGAGTTCTCCTGTTTCGGTGCTCGCTACATATCCCGGATTGTGAAGAATGCACACAGCTTCAACTCTGCTGGCCCCGCCACTGCCCACGATAAAGACAAGTAATTAGGCCCAGTGAAGGGAGATGTGGAATGGAGGGGGGGAAAAAAGTAGAAAAGTAAGGATGAAGGAGAGGCAGAGGAAGAAAGTAGAAGGGTGGGGGAAGTAAAGGTGAAAGGATTGCCTGTTTTATTCAGGTGGCCTAAGGGGGGCAATGAGCAAATTCTAGCTAACTGGAAAGGGTGAGAGACCCCAGTGTTTACATTTCAGATTCTGACAGAGGGGTCAATCAGAATTTAACTACTTGCAGAATTTGAGAGTAAGGGACGCTACGTGAGCTACTCCCGGAGAGAACTCGAGTCCGGCCCAAAGGAAGGTTATAAACCGAATTGGGGGCACGTGGGTCAGGAAATGGGCCTTCAGGAGTGGCTGGGGGATTATTTCCTTTGATCAATCTGTTCCGGGATCCCTGATAACCCCCAAAAGGGAGAGCGCCGTGGTGGTGGGGGGAGGGGGGTCCCGGATGGTCCCTCGCCGCACACAATGCGCCAGGGCTAGGCGGCCCAAGGACCGCCAAAATCCCCAGGCGCGGGTTTGAGCACGAACGTGAGTCGCTGGCATCCCTCCCCGAGGGCCCCGGCGAGAAGCACGCGGTCTCCAGCAGCCGGGCAGGAGAGGTAACCCTGCGCACGCCGTGGAACCAGAAAGCACCACGGCCCGGGGGCCCCCCCAGCGTCCCGGATCTCCGCCCCGGCGCGCGCGCGCGCGCACGCCCCTCTCCCCGGGGCCGACGTCCCAGGGAGCGGGGACCCCGGACAGCTTCCGCGTCCGCAATTCCAGTTCCTTGCTCCACCCGGGCAGAAACTGCCCTCAGCTCCGGCCGCCGCGAAAAGAAAGGTCCACTCTCTCTCTGAGGCCTGGAAAGGCGGGAAGGGCCCGAAGACGCAGGCTCTGCTTTCAGGGTGCCCACTGGGGACGGGGCTGGGGGCAGCTTCACCTCCTGCGCCCCGCGTGCCTCCTGCACGGTCCCAGGCCCCTGTCCCGGCGGCAAGTGCTGGGCATAGGGGCAAACAGCTGCCTAAGCGTCCCACGGGAGTTTTTCCAAAAGCCTCAAGGGAAGTTTTTCCTTTTGGAAAACTCCCTAGGGCGGACCGATCCCGATTCGAAAAACGGGGATGACCCAGGGAGTTCCCGGGAAGACTTCTTCCCGGCCCATCATCGGTCCACATGAGGCCTGTCCGATGTTGGCCGACAGCTGCAAGGCGCCGGGCCGGGCCTGGGTCACCCCGACCCGGCTTCGCCCGCAGATGCCCCTGGTGCCCCCGGCCCCGGCCGCTAGCCAGGCGTTGGGCCCACGCGCGGCGGCTGCCTCCTCGCCGCCCAGCGCCGATAAATCAGCTAAGTAATTACTGAATGTAAACTCCAGTTACTTAAGTGTCCTCCGAGGGGTAATATTGTCTGTCCCTATAAATCCCGACTGCTCGCGCTCATCAGCGCTTCCGCCCAAAGCGCTCGCCCGTTAGATGGGGGCACACGACCCACAGGAAACACCCCACCGGCCCACGCCGCAGCCGCCTTCACGGGGGGGGGGTAGGATGGGGGACTGGGATGGGAGGGGTCGCCACGGCGCCGGGGGTTTCCCCCCAAGTTCCTCCGCGGGGCAGGTACCAACGACCGCAGGAGACTTTAGCTCACCCTGTTCTCCTCCAACTAGAACCTTTTTTGAAAGGACAGAGCAAATTTCTCCAGCACCTTCTCGGGCATGTGTGAATGTGTGTGATAGAGGTGTGTGATGCTACGTGTATGAGCATCGGTGTGTATGAAGGTGTGTAAATGAGGAAGTGTGCGTGAGGGTGTATGTGGAAGAGAAGTGTGTCAGAGCATATGGGCGTTCCAGCAATGAGGCAGAGATGGGCAGTATCAGATACGGCTGCGTAAAGTGGTTTGTGGGTTGTGTGCACGTGAAGATGTACCTGTGGGGTGCGTGAGTGTGTTGGGGGGAGGTCTTCGGGGGCCCATGGGCGCATTCCTTTGGCATTTTGCACCACGCCCCGGAGGGACTGGACCCCTCCCCTCCTGTTGGGGCCGCATCGAGCTGGGCCTAGTGGCCTCAATACTGGAGCAAATCCCACGTGCCCCCTCGCACGCCCGCTCTTCGGAGCACGGCGACCGCAAGGGGTCTGCCACCGGGTGGGGAGGAAGGAAGAGCCACCGGGGCTGTTCCGGCTCCGGCCTCCCTTCCCCATCGCCCTCCCCAGGTTCCCGGGGCCGGGCGAATGGGGGCTGCCGACCGTCCTGGGCGCCTTCCTGCTCCGACTGCTGCTGCTTCTGTTCCGGGGCGGCGGCGGCGGCGGCTGGAGCGCGTTGCCGGTCCCGGCCGAGGGGCTGTGGACGCGCTGGAGACTCCACCGTGTGGGAACCCAGCGCGGGGCCTGTGTGTGCTATCGAATTACTTATTCATAGAAAAAAAGGGGGGGAGAGAAAAAAAAGAAGTCACATGTCCGGGTTATACGTATGCGAAGAGAAGCAGCAGCAGGAGAGAAAAATTAAGGCGAGCAGGAGGAGGAGGAGAAAGAGAAGCAGCGGCGGAAGCGGCGGCGGCGCGGGAGGCGGCGGCGGCGACGCGGCCGGGGACAGACACCCACCTGTATGAGTGCGCTTGTGGATCTTGAGGTTCTCGGAGCGCGCGAAGACCTTGCCGCAGCCCGGGAACGGGCAGGGAAAGGGCTTCTCGCCCGTGTGCACGCGGATGTGGTTGATGAGCTTGTATTTGGCCTTGAAGGGCTTGCCCTCGCGCGGACAGTCCTCCCAGAAGCAGACGTGGTTGCTCTGCTCGGGGCCGCCCACGTGCTCCACCGTGACGTGGTTCACCAGCTCGTGCATGGTGCCGAAAGTTTTGGAGCAGGGCTTGGCGCCGCCGGCCGGGGGCGGTGGCGGCGGCGGCGGCG